CCCCCCCCCCCCAGCCGCTTTATTAATATTAAACTTTCAAAGATTAGGATTCATATAATATATCGCATTAAAATGTGCTTAAGGTGGCTCGCTACAGTTTATAGAAATGTTGAAAATGCGTAAACTAGATCACCTTTTTGAAGATATGATGCTCTTTACAAATCGAAATTTGTATATTATATATACAGCGACAATCAAACAGTCGAAAATTGCTCAGAAAAGTGACGTCACCACTGTTGCTATGGCAACAATGACGATTCAAGATGGCCGATATTTTGGCTTTGAACGCATTTTACTTTAAAAAAAGGTCGGTTACCCCCATTTTTTATTTCAGTAAACATTTTCTTATAGTACAATACACTATCTGACCAATTTTAAAAAATTCTGTAATGCCAAATTTTTTAAAAATTTATAAACATGGTTCTTCGAAATAATTTTTTTTTGCATTACAGAATTTTTTAAAAATTGGTCAGGTAGTGCATTGCACTATAAGAAAATATTTTCTGAAATAAAAAATGGGGGTAACCGACCTTTTTTTAAATTAAAGTAAAATGCGTTCAAAGCCAAAATATCGGCCTTCTTGAATCGTCATTGTTGCCATAGCAACGGTGGTGACGTCACTTTTCTGACCAATTTTCGACTGTTTGATTGTCGCTGTATATATAATATACAAATTTCGATTTGTAAAGAGCATCATCTTTTCAAAAAGGTGATCTAGTTTACGCATTTTCAACATTTCTATAAACTGTAGCGAGCCACCTTAAACAGTTATGCCCAGGAAAGGTGAGGGCAAAATTACGCCATTACTTACAAAATAGGCAATAAACATTAACAATAATGACAGATGCAGACATGGGGAGGAGGTGGGTGATTAATAAATTTTGATATCTTCTCAAAGTGGTGTTCACTTGACTGTAGACTGAATGCGACTGATGTGAACCGCATGAAAGTATGTACTATTAATGACCCCTTTCTCAGCCATCTGCTTGATCATTCCGCACCCTAGGGCCATTGTCGCCATTTCCTTCGTATGACAATTCTTATCTTACCACCACCTGCTTATCAATTATAATAGCCAACCTATCTACCCCAATGTCTCAGCCGGAAAGGCATAAAATTCCTATTAGCAAGCAAATATTATATTTATTCCTCCCCTCTGAACTAGCGAATATTAAAGATTTATTAAAGATAGTATTTTCCTGGCATTTAGACTTGAGTGTTGCATTTCATGCGCTCTGTTTGCTGGGCAAAGTATTAATAATGGACACAAAACAAGACATTCAACACGTAGTTGGGTTTATCTGGCTGGGGGTAACGATTCCCCCCAGCCGCTTTATTAATATTAAACTTTCAAAGATTAGGATTCATATAATATATCGCATTAAAATGTTCTTAAACAGTTCTGCACAGGAAAGGTGGGGGCAAAATTACGCCAAAGCATCGAACTGGGGAAAGATGCCGCCACACACCAGGCGAATGCAACACTCGAGCCTCATGCTTTATGGACCATTATAATTATGACGCACAGTAACACAGTGCGCAAACAAAACCGAGATATTCGCCCGTGCTTAATACCTGAAATAAACGTGATAGACATCCAATTTTAAATAAGCAGTCGCCTCCTGCAAACTGTAGTTATATTACAAAAAATAACGGCTTACTAGAGACTTATTAGCCCATCGCGCAGCCAAGATAGTCGCCCATGCTAACTATCTAGTCATAAACTCCATAGAAATCGTACTATTTGATATGGAATGTGTGTCGTAAAAAAAGCTACAAAGCACAACCTCGTTCCCAGGGCTTTTCCCTTTTTGTCATTGGGAAGGCGGGAAAAGGCCCTGGCACTGGCCGGTCTTCTATGTATTCTGACTATCCTTTCGACCCCTAAACACAAGGTTGCAGGAAGAACAAAATATGATATTTCTCAAGTTCGCAATCAACACCCGAGAAACAAAGCAGCTATCAGCACCTTCATTACTGAATTTGACTGGTCAATCCTTGATTCCCTTTCGTCATGTGATGAAAAATGGTCTGCTTTTGAATCAATTATTCGGCTTGGGATGGACATTCTCCTTCCCACAAAAACTATAAAGAAACGGCTCGATGACCCACCATGGATGACCAAACATTTGAAATCCTTAATTGATCAACGTCAAAAAGCATTAGCGAAAGGACATGACCAGTTATTTAAAAGTCTTCGTAACCGCGTCAATAGGGAACGAAAACAATGCCGGAGTAAATACTATGACTCAAACGTCAGTCAACTTAAAGCCTCTGATCCCAAACAGTGGTGGAAATCTGTTAAGTACCTGTGTGGAATGGATCCAGTCAACCACAAGTATGATCTCCGACATCTTCAAAGCCTGTCATCCACTGGTGATGAAACTAATGAAACCAACGAAGGCAACGCATCTCTTTCACACTTGGCGGATACCATAAATCAAACCTTCCTAGAACCAATGAACATGTTCCAACCTCTAAATTCTGACCACTCCCAAGCCTTAAACGTGTCCGGCACCAGTAACCAATTATCATCTACAATTACCACCACAGAATCGTATATTTTCGATAAATTATCCAGTATAGTACCTACGAAGGCTCATGGCCCAGACACTATTCCTGGTTGGCCTCTCAAAGGGAATGCCGATGTACTAGCAAGTCCCGTTTGCAAGATTCTCAATTCTTCTTATCTCGAAAATCGTTTACCCGCTGCTTGGAAGTTGGCAGATGTAATTCCCATTCCAAAACAGAAGCCTGTACGAACTGTAAACAAGGATTTAAGGCCCGTTTCGTTAACACCAATAGTCTCAAAACTAGCCGAGGAAGTGGTAGTTGAACAGTTCATTAAACCGGCGATTCTCAAAGTGGTGGATCCTAACCAATATGGAACAGCGCCGAAATCATCTACCACGCAAGCTCTTATTAGCATAGTCCACAATGTTGCTAAAGCCACTGATGGCAACGGGGCCTTAGTTAGACTTGTTCTATTGGACTTTAGGGAAGCATTTGATCTCATCGATCATCAGTTACTTATGGTAAAGCTCCACTCTCTGGACGTTCCGCCGTTTGTTATAAATTGGGTAAGAGATTTTTTGACAAATCGTCAACAAAGAGTAAAGTTGGCCAATGACTGCTATTCAGAATGGTCCCTAGTCCCGGCAGGTGTACCCCAGGGAACCAAACTCGGTCCTTGGTTATACATTCTTATGATCAATGACCTCAACAGAGTCAGTAACAACCTCTGGAAATACGTAGACGATACGACTTTAGCCGAGGCAATACCCAGAGGAGGGGATAGTAATATTCAATCTGAGGTCGATGATATCCAAAACCAATCCAACACCCTGAAATTTACCCTCAACGAGGACAAATCTAAAGAGATTTGAATACAATTTAGCAGATACAACACTAATTACCAGCAGCCTCCCCTAGTGACAATCAACGGTAAACAGGTAGACTTGGTCTTCCAAAGTAAAGTTTTGGGTTTGACTATCAGCAGCGACCTTAAGTGGAATAGTCATATTGATAATATTGTTAAAAAGGCATCAAAGAGATTGTACTTTTTGCGACAATTGAAACGTGCCAAAGTATCTACCACTGAGACGATGTGTTTCTACTGCACTTGTATCCGACCAGTTGTCGAATACGCATCTCCTGTCTTTCATTATGGAATTCCCATATATCTGTGTAAAGACATTGAACGAATTCAGCGACGAGCCATGAAAATCATATTTCCCACCAAATCATATGCCGAAGCGCTCTCCCATTCTAAGCTTCTAACTCTTGAAGAGAGACGTCAAATTGCGTGCGACAAACTCTTCAAAGAAATAATGGAAGATAAAAATCACAAATTGCACCCACTCCTACCAGATCCGAATACTGACGTAGCGTATTCCCTGAGAACTTCGAGAACTTTTAAAATTCCCAAATGTAAGACTGAACGATTTAAAAAGTCTTTTATAATTGCTGCTAGTTCTAATAATTAAAGCAGCAGTCACTGAGGATTTTATATATTTCGATAATAACTGTTAGTTTTAACTGTAATTATATATTCTTAAATACATTAATAGATAGTATAATTAATTGAAATAGACAGTCCCATTAACTTAAAGTTACAATTATTTTATTATGTTTAGTATTTTTAAGCAGTAATAGATAGTATAATTAACTTAAACCTTTCTTTTGTAAAATGTAACCGTTGTAATTCAGCTTCTTGGCTGCAAGATCGGTTTTTTGAATAAATTGTAAATTGTAAATTGTAAATCGGTCAATGACAAGTACATTATTATGCAAATAATGCAATCTTGGATTAATTTATTCAAACTTTGGGATAAATTAATATTTCATGCAAGGAGTGTCCACTATTAATACTTTGTCCGTCTAAGAAATATTTTTGGCAAAATCTGTGGCAAAATGGTTAAATTCGATAAGATTTATACACAATTTGTCGAAGGTTAGTATTATTGTTTGTTTTAAACTATGAGGGAAGATTAATTGTGTACTAGAACACACCTCTGAGGCTTTGAAGTCTGACCGAGTATTTTATAGGGCAAACTGTGCCTTCATATTTGGCTTCGTATAGCATTTATAATGTTTATATTTATAAAACTAAAGTCTGGGTTTATAAACTGAAACATGACCTTTAGTTTTTGATATTCTTCATAGTCGAGTTTAAATTGGCCTAATTTATAGTTATAGTTACCGCTAGAAATGCGACGATATTTTGTTATATCATATATGCAACAGTGTTTACAACTTTTGAATAATATGTGATTTGGTTTTATAATAATAATAATAATAATCTGTTTAATTAATCACATTGCAGTCTCTACTGAATTACATGATTATAAGTAAATACATTAAAAATTAAATTTACAGATAATTTTCAGATACTATTACATGTTGCTTCATTTTACCATAAATTGTGTTAAAAAAGTGATTTGCTCATTCGGCTGATGTTACAGTTTTCTGATGTGTTTTGTTTGGACTTTGGATGATATTAGAACAATGTCAATATGAAAGTGCAGGTGTTTTTAGACATGAGCCATAATGTATATAGCAAAATACTGATAAAATCCGTTTCCAGCTTGATTGTATTTGCATTGTTGTATTTGCATTGTTGCAGACAAAGTTGTGCAAAGACAAAGTTACGTCACATACTCGTATGTAATTCCATGTGCCTGCATGTACTTTGATGCCTCAAGAGATGCTTCGAATGTGTAATAAAGGGCTGTTCGCAGGAGTTGGGCTGTCTGGCCTTAAATTGCATTGTTTTTTATTATATTTTAAGATTGTATTCATATGGCTGGGCCATCTTGCCATTGCCACAATGTCTGATGTTCAAACAGGCTTTAAAATCAGGTTACAATGCATGCTTGAAAATGCCTGCTAATATTCCAGAAAATCCTACTACCTCTTGTGCAGATCTGGACTGATTTGTCAGAAGGGGTTGGAGGTTTTCTACTTGTGATCGGGCAAGGGGAGCTAGCCAAGGGTGCTGAGTCAGAGTCAAACTCATGTGAACAGCTTCTAAGTCCTAATTATATTGATAAATTATGTACACTTTGGGATGGTAATGACATTTGTAAAATATTCCACATTTTGTTTAATAAAATTTAATTATATACATTGTTTTTGTTGTTTATATTAACACCTTGGACAGTGTATATTTACACCTTTGGACCCTGTAAATAAACACCTTTGGAGGGTGTACCCATTCTAAGCCAAAGACATTTAAGAACAATTATCAAGGTATTTGCATGATAAAATTTATTTTAAACTGCTCTCCATATACATGTAATACATGGTTCAATTCTTGCTTTTACCAAATAAACCCAGGGATTTTCAATGTCCCCCTCCTCCCGTAGAATTCACTTGAAGTGACTGGGGCAAGGTAGCTATAAGTATAAGTAGTTATATTAATTTAATTAAAGTCAATTTGAATATAGACCATTGCAAATTTTTTAAAAATTTGTTTAACCCTTTATAGTGGCAATGTCCCTACTTTACTATATTACTCCATCTGGTGCCAGACAATTTTACTCAAGGGCAGAATGTAGACTTGCCACAAGTTGACCTCGAACGAAACGTCGGCTCACACTCGCTGCTTGCGTTTCGTTCGAGGTCGACTTGTGGCAAGTCTAGGCAGAATGCTGCCACTCAATGAGTTAATATATTCTCAGAACAGTTACCATCAAATTTAATCTATTTTGCTGGAAAAATTGCCTTGGAGGGGGTCCTTGATTTGATGAGTCTTTTTTTTTGGGGGGGGGGTGAGTGTTGTAGAAAACAGAATAGCAACTGGTTTCAGAATAGGAAAAATTGTTTTAATATAGGTAATATAATTCTAAGACAAATCATACAAAGGAAGCAATCATTCTAGCTCTTATAGTGTATGTTGCAACAGGGATGGATT